TTTTGTCTTCTTCTGCTCGGCCTACCTGCTACTTGAGTGTTTTTCCCTAGCTGCTCTAAGTGTCGTGGGCCTACTCCCCGCTACCGGCGTGTTTACCCCCCTGCAACCCTTCAAAGTCACGGCCACAGGTAAGTACCGGCCTGGTGGGCCTTGCAACCAACAAGTACCCTTGCGGGTCACCCCACATACCCAACCAGCAAGCACTCAGACAGACATGCAAACCAGCAGGCATGCACACACACACAACCGGCAAGCAACCACAACAGAATGCGAGAATCACAGCAAGGCATTCATTCCAATGACAAATCCCAAAAATCAGCAGTGTTCTCAGTCTGTGTTTTTTGGCGGGTCATTACATTACTCCCCTCTCGAGAGCGAGGTCCCTTCGAGCGAGTAACTCAGTCAGAGTCGGTACAGAACGCATCGTAGGAGTACATCAAAAAAAGAGACTTGGTCAATCCATGAGGAGTCATTGTTGCTACGAACTTAGCGGTCTGTCCCTCGGTGATCTGTCTTTCGTAAGCGTTCACAACACGGGGAGCACTTTTTAGCAGCTCTTTCCGGTCGATCCAGTAGAATTCAGTCAACGGGTGATAGAGGAAGTGAATATTATACTGTCTGCTCCTCCCTCTGCCCTCGTGAGATACGATTTTGTCTATCTCATGGCCACCGTCGATAGGGCGAGGTATCATCGGGTCTCGGAAAGGAAAACTCTCATCATCAATGTGTGGGAATAGTTTGGACGCATGAAAGGTCGGATACGTGCGTAGATGAGGAGGGACGTCAATCACAAATGAAGGGCCAAAGTCATCCCCGACTACCTTCAGAATCTGCCAAGGGCCGTAGTACAGTGGAAGAAGCGTCCGTGATATGCCTTCTTCATCAGAAAACTCAGACATTTTGACCCAAACATAATCCCTTACTTTGAATTTTTCTTCTTTGCGCAGCTTATTGGCATGTTTGATCATGGCATGCTGGCGCTTGTTCATAGCTGTTGTAGCAGCTTTGAGCAAGCATGCGTACTTGGCATTGTAGCCAGGCATGCCGGGCATCAGACCAGGTAACCGTTCGGGGAACAGATAGGAGAGGGGATTACGCATCGGCCATCCATACTGCGATTGGTTTGGTGTCACACCAGTCATAGAGTGAATGGAGTTGTTGTACAGCCCCTTCACTTTGTGCAATTCCTTGTCCCACGTGTTCTGATCTGGAACAATTAGTGCGCGAAGCAATTGGATGACAGTCTGGTTTATCTCCTCAGCCAATCCGTTGGCTTCGGGGTGTCGACCGGGAGTCCTGTTCAGTTTGATGTCGTAGATCTGAGATGTGAAGTCTTTCCAATCTTTGCTGATGAATCTGGTGTCCCGATCACTCACAATAGTTTTCGGGACGTCGGACTGCAAAATGTACTGCTGATGGGATTCTTCTATGACAAGTTCAGTCAGGGCGTGAGGAGGGAGAGGAATCAAGTTCAGAAATTTGGAGAAGCGGTCCACAATGACCATGACTTGTGAATTCCCAGCCTCGCTCACCTTTCTCATGTCCGTGAAGTCGATGGAAATCGATTCACCGGGTCCATCAGGAATGGGGAGAGGTCTCAGTAGGCCATAAGGCTTATGCTTGTGGACCTTGATTCTTTGGCATACTTGACATTCAGCAATGAATTTCTGAGCAGATCCTTTCATTCCCGGCCAATCAAATTGCTGCAGAAGACTTCCATAAGTCTTCTCAAAGCCAAAATGTCCAATCCGACCATGTGCCAAATCCAAGAAATGAGTTCGGAGAGGAGCATGGTTGGGTACACACAAACGGTCAAACTTCCCATACCGGCATAGTCTATCATGGTAGCCAGTGAGGGGGCGCAGTGCTACCGGGAGCGCTGCGCCCCCGCTATCTTGTCGGGATGACGCGCTTGGGTGACGCGCTTGCCAACGCTCGCGGGGATGGACCAGGGCAGAATGCGTGCGCGCGGGGAAACGTGTGTGTTAGACGCTGGTTGCTGCTGGGCAGAAGCGTGAGTGGCCTCCATAGCTGCCTTTTCTGACGTGGCGAGAGGTAGCCAAGGACTGCACGACATCTCCGGGCAATGTGTACGTTACCTCGAAGCAGCCATAGCGGGTTTATGGTGCAGAGGGGGGTCTCGTGGAAAAAACGGGAATCAGTGGGCGATGGGTTACTCTATCGCAGACAGCTGGACGTGCATGCTGGCGGGAGATAAAAGGTGGAGGAGGCGACTGTGTTAATAGAGTCGACATTATCTTATTCGACGCGTCATCATCATCATCATCATTTGGAGCGGAGGCCAGTTGGAACTCAGCGGGCGATCATCGTCATCATCATCACCATTGACACAGTTGTCATCATCATCATCATCATCATCATCATCATCATCATCATCATCATCGTCTTCACCCTTGACACGGCTCGTCCTTCTTTCCTCTCCCTTCCTCTTCACTTTTCATTTCCCCCTGATCATTCCACGTCTCGTCTCTCCTCTCCGATGGTCACTACTCTGGTTTTTCTCTTGATAGATTCTTCTTCGTTGGTCTATTCCGATTGCTACTTCGAAATGGAGGTTCTGCGCGAACAGACAGCGGGACAACCAAAGTAGGATGTGGCGGGGGGATGGATTGGGGGAGAGG